TCTACATGTAAGTAGATAGATAAAAACAGCTTAAACTGGGCTTTAGCGAGCACCTCGTTGTGAATAAAAGTTCCTCGTGATAGGTACTTAGACTTCTCCATGCACGGTCCTATGTTGGAAGATCTACTTCCCATGCATAAGGATTTGACTATATTTAAAAGCCTACGAGGATACGGTATGCAGTGAAGGAGAGAAGAAATGAGTGCATAAGCGGAACTCTTTAATTAGACGTTGGACTGTCAAGTTTTACTTGGTGTCTTTGAACTGTTTACTAACTTCAAGCTACAGTGCCTTTTCTCTTCCAAAGATGTCTCTAATCTCATCCCGTTCTACGAAAGTCACAATATTTACCTCGCTTTCTTTAATTACAAGCTTGCAGTCAAAAGCTCGGAAGAAGACCAAATTCAGCTCGTCGACGATACAATGAGACGATTAAGATTTCAAATAAGCCTGATAAAGATGACGTGGAATGCTAAAGCTTATGCTGAATCAATCGGGTCCGATTAATTTTGATATTGGGATGTCTGGTACTCGAGAAGGAAATTATCGATATCAATGAGGCACATGGTGTGCTATTAATAGAGCTGTTGCGTATGCAGCATATGCACTTGGCATTATATTCCTTTGTATCTTGTGATGCCGGTCCCTGCACCGATTAGAGACAATATGGGAACAAATGAAGAGGTAAAAGGGAAGCTGAAGTAACGTTTGGGGGTAGATGGGGAAACAGTTGAGAACTTTAATCTCATCCTTTATTACCATTCCTTCTTATCTTCGTTTCATACTTTACCTTGACACATTCGGAGTGGGATGTTGGATATTATTGAGTGAAGTCATTGCTGCTTCGCTATGTACTAGATGAGAGGAAGGTCAGTAGCATTCGCAGTAAGAAGCAAATGAAGGGCAGTAGTGGCTGTGTCATGTAATGTGAGCGTCGAGTTTTAGAATTATGAGTTGAGAGCGATTCCTTTTTCTATGAGAGCAATTCCTTTTTCTATGAGAGCAATTATTGATTTCTCTCGATGACTTTGATTGCACGTTATATATTTTTCGTACGTTTGTCTAATATATACTATGTTTGATCTAAAATGTATTATAAATCCACCACTAATGAAATTATCCGTTTACAGGATTCGGAAGGTACTTTATCATCACTGTTGATAATTGGGACAGTGACTTTATAGACTATGTTTATTATATTGGAGGGCATTATGGTACAAGATTCTCATGTTCTGCTACCGATATTGGCATGCTTTAACAATAGAATTGGGAGCAGTGATTGATGACATTTGAAATGCTGACTCTCATTGATTTCGAGAGTTCTTAACGACGGCTCACCCGAAACCATTGCGAATGATGTTGAAATCCCAGAGCTTAAACCATGTTCATTATGCAATCAAGAACTTTTTATTATGAACTAAAAAAGTCATTCACTATATTAACCTGTTCCCATATATTCCACCGCAATTGTCTTGAGGAACATGTAAAAATCTTTTCACAGTGCCCCATATGCGAACATGAGATTGAATCCATTAGCAACATCCAAGTACAGGAACTCCAATGCAGATTTCGCTACAATTAGCATCTGGCCAAAACCAGGAGTCTCTGACTCACGGAAATACAACAATCTCGGATGCAATGTCATTTCGCACTCCCAATCCTTTCCTAGCACCCTTTTCGTTTTATCCAACGTATGCGAATCAGTCCCAAAGCAACAAGCCCAGATATGAAAAAAGATTACGCGAAGATGATCAGAAAAAAGACTGAAGAAATTAATCGATGAGTTGTCTACTGAAGACTTAAATTTTGAGGAAAATATTATCGGGTTCGGTACCTGCAACTGAAAGTTGAATCAATAATTTAGCAATAGCTATGGACCAACATTTAGATTTTAGAATAGCTATACCGCAGTAGCAATTTAGATATATAAGCAATCAAAGTTCCTGCACCTTTTCCACTTAGGATTTGGTCGAAGACTCCAACGGAATAATGGAATAACTCTTACGGTGGAATAATACTT